TTTAAATATAAATAATAACTTATAAAATTAATATAAATATATGAAATAAAATATCCAAAAGTAAAATAAATTAATCTGTTAATTTTTCACTATAATAATCAAATTTATTTTAATAATAAATTTATATTGATTTTGGCTTTTTAAAAATTTATATTAAGCTCTAATGCTTTATTATAATATTCAAAAGCATCTTCCTATCTATTTAATTCATCTACTATGATCTAAGGATCTGTTGGAGACTTATATTTTACTAAATTAAGTCCTAATGTGATTTTAGCATCAGTTAATCAATTTATTCGTAAGTACCCTTAATCAAATAGTGAATTTTCTAACTCATCAAAGAAAAAATATTTATATACAGAAGTTTAATTTGAATTTTAAACTTGAGCCTTCCTAATTATTTATGAATTTTCTCATCAATTCGAGTTTATAAATTACTTAAATAGATTTGATCAACTTCAAGATCCCATTCTACAATAAATAAAAATCTCATATCTTCTTTATTTCTTTGCTTTTATATAATTTTAGAAGGGTAATGTATAATATAGTTAAAATATTTTGTAATTAAAAAGATTATGTCTGAATGCAGTTTTAAAAACTTAAGAAATAAATTCATATTTAATAAATGAAGTTGTTACTTTACTTTCAATAGAATAACTATTAATTCTACATTGTCTTTAATTCAATTAAATAAATTTTATTGGTCTTGTTGTAGATGAAATATTTTGAATCTGATGTTATAAATGAAAAAAAGCCTTACCTAGTATCAATTTATGTATAATGCCTATTATTTAGAAGTAGATTACATTAAAGAATGATTAATTTTCAAAAGTTTAAATCCCATGTAAACTGAGAACAAAAAGGAAATTAGGTTTTAATTAAAATCACTGGAGTAAATTCATATTTTAAGATTATTTGAAATTTTTAAAATTTATATTTTCGTGAAAAAAAAAAAAACTCTAAAAACTTATTTCAAAAGAAGGAGAAAAGAAAACTATTGTTAGGTTAATTCAAATTAGTCTTAAAATAGTATTCACAACATGCAACAATATTAATCTTAATTTAAGAAAAAAAAGTTAATTTGACCTATTGCAACTTAAATGGGTATTTAAACATGTATTCAATAAAAGAAGATAATCACAATCTTATGAGAGTTCAATTAATTTGAATTTAGATTAGAACAATACTTTTATAATATCTTATTAATAATTCGCAAAGGATAGTATAACGAATAAATACTCAACCTCGATCTCATTATAAAGCTCAAGAAATTTTTTATATTAACCATAAATTATAGAAAGTTTTTTGTTATTGAAATATTAGAATATATAGAATCAGAAAAATGTTCAAGAGATATCTTTAAAAGTAAGAAACCTTTAAATTTATAAATATAATATTTGTTTAATTTGAATTCTTAAGTACAACTGATTTGGTAAGATTAAGTTTGAAAATCTCTATCTCTTAAGACAGCAACAAAGGCCTTAAGCTTATTATCAATAAATTATAATATAAGGTATATGAAATGCATTCCTTGAATAAAAAATTTATTGCATAATTTGAATCTTAAATTTAATTAGTTTATTACAAATATCAATCACTGAGAAGGATATTATTTGATAAGTATTAATCAAGAAAGCTAGAACTACAAAATCATAATTTTTTTATTAATTTCTTTTGAAACTGATTATTGGCCATGTTGAGAAATTCTCTAAACTCTTTTTTTCTCACAAAAAAAAAGAAAAGAAATTCTGCTATTTTAGAATAAGATTTTCTGCTATTTTCGGATAAGATGTGGTATACTTAAGCAGAGCATCATAACAAATTTTATGTATAATCCTGTCTCCTCTTTTTTTTCAAATTTAATAATTCTAAAATAACTCAATCTTAATTTGAGTTTAATTATATTTTCAATGATATTCCTTTTCTGTATTCTTCTATCCCTATAAGTCAAACTAAAGAAATTAGACTGTTGGTATTTAATGCAATACTAATTGTAATTAATTTTACTTAATTTATACCTACTAATCCAAAATGAGACTGAATGATGGAAATCTCGACCAAAGATAAAAACGTATCCTGTCACTGGTTTTAAAAAATGTTCTTATTTTCCTTTATTCTCAGGATTTCTTAGAAATCAACATATAAATTAGAAGCAGTTATCTTGAAAAAATATTTTTATATATCCTCTTTATACTTAATAAGTTCCATACATAGTGGAGAGAAAGAAAACCTATAATAAATTTATTTTTGTAATTTGCCTATGATTTTAATTAATTTTCTGATTTAATGTAAACTTAGTCCAGTTAAGTAATTATTGTTTTTTTCCCAATAAATAACAATAAGTTAATTAATTCTAATTGAAATCATTTTAGTTCATTTATTTCCAAAATCTAAGTTTTTATCACCAGAAATAAAAGAATTCTGTTTCTTACGATAATATAAACAACTTATCATCAATTTTATATTGTCAACATAAAAAATATTTAAATTCTTAATGTAATCAATAAATTCATCATAGAAATTGAATTCACAACAATATTTCCATTAAATCAATAAATTTTAGCTCTAATATTAAGCTATTCTGATTATGGAATCATATAATTTTATCTATTGCAACATCAATTGTTAAATGCTTGTTTGCAGGCGAAAAGAGAAAAAATATAATACTCAATTCAAATATTTGCAAACTCTATTACTATTTTGAGAATGAAGAAAGCACGTATTTGGCTCGTGAATATTCTGGTATTTTTAGCATTTAAATTATCTCTCTTTAATTACTTAAAAAAAAAAGAAAACTAAATTGAATTTTGCAGAAGATGAACCATAATTACATATAAAATTAATCATGAAAAGCTCAAAATAATTTGTAGATTTAAATGAATATAGTTTAACAGAGAGATGATACAAATACATTATAAATAGTAAATTATATTCAATAGGTTCTTGTTGAATATAAATTACCACAGGGCTTTAGTCTCTATGTTTAGAATTTATTATCTTATTATACGAACCCTTGCATGGATATTCTCCTTTTCTGTTTTATGGGTAGAAATACTGAAGAATTATTCAACAAGATAAAATTAGGTCAGTCTATTAATCTCTCCTCCATTTGTCATATGAAGTAATAACTTTGATCAAAGACTTTAATAGATATTTGATCATCTTTGGAGGGTAAAGCATACTGACACATTCGATTTTGATATCTAGTCCTTTATTTGTAAACCTTAATTCCTTATTAAAAGATTCCAATAAAACATACAAAAGTAAGATTCTCATGTTAGACCTATAAAATAAGTTTATACTAAATAAAAAACTACTTCATAATAATCAAATGAGAATTATTCTTAAAAAGATTAAATTCGATATTCAATATTAACGTCTAGAATTAAAAGACTGTCTAATCAAACAAAATCTTGCTTCATTAACAACAATTATAACAAAAGTACTAGGAATAGGAATTGTATTTGATGAATAGACTTTTTTTAACATTTTATATCTAAATATGGAGAAAAATTGATATTCTACCAATATTGAATAATTTAAAGCTAAATCAACAATTTTATTGCAATAACAATATTCAGCATCAAGATTGCCTTGACAAAGCTTTTAATCTTAAAGAGTTAATTATTTCATCAAATTGAAATTACCAGAAGATATGGAACCCTCAATAATTGTGTCCAATAATAGGAATTTAGAAAGGAATTTGATATCTAAGCTAAGATAATAGCTATTCAATTGATTTTGCTATTTTATTATTGAATAGATTATTTATATTATTTTTAAGAGTGAATTTAGATTAGATAAATATTTGATCTAATAAAGTAATATTAATTATAATAATTAAAATAATACTAGTTGTAAAACTTTAAATTCAAAATCCCCCTAAATAAATCAGAATAAAACAAAAATAGTTGAATTTAAGAAAATAATACCCTCTCTATTTTCCATCTTAGATCTAGAATATCTGCTAAAATCTTAACAGACCTTAATTAATCTTTGTTCACTTTCTATTTCTATTCTTATAATTAAGGCTCATGCCAAATTTTTATTTCTTTTTTTTTATAGAAATCTAAAATTAATTCAAAATCTTTATAATTCTATCCTTCTCTTTATTGTCTTTACTGAACAGCCAGATTAATATCTATATCGAAAGATTTAATTTAATATAAGGAGTCCAAGAGCTAAATCATAAAAATAATCCTAAGAGTTTTTTTGAATCATCCAATTGATTAAATATAAATTGAATTTTTTTAAGAAGATTATAAAAATTATTATAATATTTAAATAAACAATTTAATATGATATATATTCTTGTATAATTAATAAAATATAAAATATTAGTTACTAAAATTATTATTAAAGACTTTAGAATCGAAATAATAGAATGTAAAAAATAGGGCTTCAAGTGATATGGTAATAGAGAAGAAATAAAAGTTAGTTTTAAATGACAAATAATCAAATATGAACCTTAGTTAATTAAAAAAATGTAATTCAGTGAAATAATGTTTGAAGTCTGCTAGTTCTCCAAGAATAAGTAATCAATTATTCAATACTGGACATCATAGTACTTAAAATTCACCAAAGAAATAATTACAATTGAATTTATAAGACATTGATAATTAATTAGCTATGAAGACACCAAAATAGCCAAAATCTT